TGTTTTTTGTAAAATTTAAGATTTTTGGAAATATTTTGTTGGTTTTGAATTTTGTAATTTTAGAAACTTAGGATTTTACAAATTTAGTTTTCTTTAAAATTTAAAAATGAAACTATAAATTTTTGACTTAAAAAAACTATAATTTCAATTTTTATTTAGAATTTAATTATTATGTTTTCCTTAATTTTTTGAATTTTTAAAATTTTTATGGATTTTCTTTTGATTTGTTAATATTTTGTAAGTTTTAAATTGTTTTGTATTTTTTAATTTTTTAATAAAAATAATTACAAATTGACTCCCAAATTGATAATTATTTATGAAAAACACCAATTTTGTAGTTTTTAACATGCTTACATATAGTTGGTGTATGTCACCATGTGTTACATAATAGTCTGTGTAGTTTATAAGATATTTCTATACTTGAGATGGTTTGCAATATATTAGCCAATACTTGGTGTAGGTAACAATGATTTTTCCATTTTATTGCTCACACTCACATATCGTATTTGCAGGAAACCAAATTCGATCACTTCTCTTCCCAAGACTCTGAGGATGAGTCTAAACAAGTCGTGCCCATGCATGTGGCTCCTGCCACTGTTGTTTCACGCGGCACCAAGACGGCCCTTCCAGCTACTGATGATGAGAATGAAGATGTCGAAGAAACTACCACTCTTCCGGCTAAAAAGACACGTAAACTTTCTCAACGGTTTCTTTCGTCCTCTACGAAGAAGTGTATTGAAGACGAAAGTAATATATATTAGCCGATGTTATACCCGACAAAGTAATTAATAAATTCTTGGCCAAACTCAAATCCGACAGCCGCAAGTACGTATTAAAACCTTTAATATCATTTTTTAATTCATGTTTATAAATATTTGATCCCCTATTTTTTTGCATCAATCAAGGAGTACATAATTGATGGGCACTTAGTCACTAAGACCTTTACAGATCTCTATTCTTTTCAAAGACGTATAGATACTCAGGTAAGACTGTTATGTATTCTTCTACATATTTTTTGAATTTTGTCCATTGATTATGTCAATTGTCCACCAATCTCATGTCATCACTCAATTGTTTCAGCATGTTGATGCACTACTAAGCCTTCTCTGGAGAAAGGTTGGAGACTCTTTGGTTTCAAGAAGGGTTGTAATATTAGACTTCACTCGTGAGTTATGCAAGGATAAATAATGTGTGTGATTAATGGAATACTTATAAGACGCATAACCTAAATATGGTATATCGATAGTGTGGATACCTTCTATGTTCCCATGCTTTGGGGTGAAGATCAATGGGTCGACATTTCGATTTCTCTCTCTAATTCAACTATTATTGTCCTTAACCCTTTCATGGAGGCCGTTGATGATAAGAGGACGAGCACACTTTTAAAACCACTTCTTCAAATGATCCATGTTGCTGTTACAGATCTTGGCCCTGGTTCCCCTCCGCAATGGCCCTTTCAGATTGTAAAAGAATCAGCTGCCCCTCAAACAAATCGTCTTATTGACTCCGGTCCCATGGCTGTTAAAATCATTGAAGCACACTACCAAGATCTCAGTCTTCTTGGCATCACCCAGGAAAATGTTGACAACATTCGCATTGACATACACCGTGGAAATTTACGAGTAGTTCGTCCACTCAATTTGTGGCTAATATATATGTTGTTTCTATAAACTGTTATGTTGTTGTTTTGTTAAGTGACAATTACCCAAAATGACTCAAAACTATAAAAAAATAACTAGACTAACCCACCNAAAAAAANTTTTACTAGTTTAACTCACATTTTAAGTAAAAAGACCTCTCACCTTATAAACTTTATCATATTATCCAAAATGCCATTTAGTTTTTTTTTTTTTTTACCCTAAAAATTAAACACACCAACCCTAAAATTGGAGGTTCATAATTTTTTTCCCTTTTGTTAATGTGTTAAATT